GTGGCCCGGAGGACTTTCCAGTTTCACTAGAAGAGGTAGGAGAGCAAGGGCTGAGCAAGGAGGGGTGGGATTTGCTAACAACTACCCGAACTCCTCCAAAGGACAATGCAAGAGTAGATGCTTCACGGATGAATCTTCTAGCTTAGAATCGCGACCCGCTGAGAAGATCCGGCGAGAAGTTCATTGGGCTGTGTCTGCGGGTTAGCCTTCGAACTCCTGATCGGTGATCGGTGCTTGAAAAGCTTGAAAGCACCGACGAGGAGGTTTCGACAAGATATGCTCGGGGCGAAGGCAGCTTTTGCGTTGGAGCTTGGCAGCCCTTTCGCCTGGGTTGGATACCTAGTCAGAGGCGGCCACGATAAGACAGATAAGGACAGTCTTTTTTTATTTTTTTTATTGCTAAGATGGATGGACGAGCTCACAGCCCACCTGGTGTTAAGTGGTTACTGGAGCCCATAGACATTTACAACGTAAATGCGCCACCCACCTCTTTAGATACTTTATTAATAACTAGCAACCCGTCTACGCTTCGGGAACATTTAGGTTCTTATTGATTACGAAGATAAGATAGCAGTGCTTATCCCTACTTACCGTTATATTTCGGGTAATTCACACTATATCTTTACTAGCAGACCCGGCCACACGTTGCTGTGGCTAAGGTTTTTGTTTCTAAATAGCACGCGGCCGGCTATGCTAATACCAAAAATGAACAAAGTAAGAACTACTGGATTTCACTGTATTGCGTTTACTACGAAATAAATTTCACTTATACTTTAGCCTCAGCAACACGTGGTGTTTATGCCATTAAAAAATAGTAGCTTATGTGAAGCGTTGGTATTTTTAACACAGCGCCATCTATGAGATATTAATGTCGTAAAAACTGATTAAAGGCGCCATCTGTTTTAGACTTATGAAACTTACAATTAATAACAATAATCAACATAAGAAATCATTTTATTGTTAATTAATAAATATTGCGAGCATTAATCGAAATAAAAACCATCCTATGGTCTAAATTAGGACAAAACACATATTTAAAAAAAAAGAATTTAAAATCAGTTCAGTAGTTTAGGTGTCCATCGTGGACAAAGAACGTGACACGTAATTTATATATAATAAGATAAATTATAGTCAGTGCTATTCTGATGTGTTAGCTATATTATTGTAAAGTTTCATCAAAATCCATTCAGAAGTTTTTGCGTGATAGAGTAACAATCATACATACTTTCCGTACATCCATACATTCTTACCAACTATCGCTTGTATTATTATTATTATAATTTTTTTTGGAACGAAGTTCCTTATCGCGCCTTGTGAAAGGGGGCTAGACGGAAAAAATTCTTACGAAAAGTTGTCACGACACTTTTTAGATCCGTCATTCTGACCAATCAACGTGTAGGCGCTTATCGCGTGACATTGCTCGTATCCGATTGGTCCGCGTAATGAGTACAGTTTCTCGAGATAGCGTTTCAACAATAGTAATTTAGTTCATAGTATTGTTTTTTTCTTCTTCATAATGCCGTAATTTATTAATATAACTTAAAAAAAAAATTCAATTCCTTTACAATTAATCGAAAGGAACTTCGTTCCATCCGGGTGTCCCTTGACACCTCTGAAGTTTTTTTTTTTTTTATTGCTTAGATGGGTGGACGAGCTCACAGCCCACCTGGTGTTAAGTGGTTACTGGAGCCCATAGACATCCACAACGTAAATGCGCCACCCATCTTGAGATACAAGTTCTAAGGTCTCAAGTATAGTTACAACGGCTGCCCCACCCTTCAAACCGAAACGCATTACTGCTTCACGGCAGAAATAGACAGGGTGGTGGTACCCACCCGCGTGGACTCACAAGAGGTCCTACCACCAGTAATTACGCAAATTATAATTTTGCGGGTTTCATTTTTATTACACGATGCTATTCCTTCACCGTGGAAGTCAATCGTGAACATTTGTTGAATATGTATTTCATTAGAAAAATTGGTACCCGCTTGCGGGATTCGAACACCGGTGCGTCGCTTCAACACGAATGCACCGGACGTCTTATCCGTTAGGCCACGACGACTACAAAATATTGAATTAGTAGGATTATAATTTTGATCTTACTATCCTGATTGAAAGGATATTATTAGTGACATATAGCGCTTATCAGTCTAGAGATGGTAATAAGATCCCATTTATTCAAGAGCTTGTTAGAGCGTCTTGTGGGACCGCCCACCACTGCCCGGCGTATTTCTGCCGTGGAGCAGTAATGCGTTACGGTACGACATCGGTTATACTGTAGAACTAAGACTTAAAACGCATGTCTCGATACAGGAGGCGATATTTACGTTGATCATAATTTAGTAGGCTCCGATAACCACTTAATTCCAGGTGGACTGGTAGGGTGTCCCGCTATCTAAGCGATAGCAAAAAAATTACTGGTGGAGGACCTCTTGTGAGTCCGCACGGATAGGTACCACTGCCCTGTCTATTTCTGCGTGAAGCATGCGTTTCGGTTTGAAGGGTGGGGCAGCCATTGTAACTATACTGAGACCTCAGAACTCATATCTTAAGGTGGGTGGCGGCATTTACGTTGTAGATGTCTATGGGCTCCGATAACCTCTTAAGTCTATCTAAGGTGGGTTGTGAGCTCGTCCACCCATCGATGTAATAAAAAAAACAATTTAGCTTGTTTGAATCTTATGGCTTATGGCCCTTGCTAGGGCTACAGGTTTGATAAAGCTGGTATAACTCCTCAAAGTTATTAGTATAGCTAGGAACGAAAGCGTAAATTATATAAAAATGGTGTTTAACTGTTCAAATAAGCTAATAAGCTTTCATAATCTATGAACAAAACAAATATGATTTTGGTTTTAATAGGAATAAATAATAGTTTAAAAAAACTAACAAAATACGCTTTTATAGAAAATCCAACTAAAAAACAGAAAAGAAATTAGTTAGTTTTTTTAAACTATTATTTATTTTTCATTTTTTAGCTGAATTTAATTTTTTTTTTTTAATATGTGATTGTCATCAGTCCTTTACAAGTATATCAAATTTCGAGTTAATCCGACGTTTTGAAGGGGGTCAAAATCATGTTCAAAGATTCCGTTACATACTAACATACATACGTCTGAAGCTAATAAAAGCGTATTAAAATTATAATTAAATCGTAATCACGTAATTACATATACAACGTAAATGCGCCACCCACCTTGAGATATAAGTTCTAAGGTCTTAGTATAGTTACAACGGCTGCCCACCCTTCAAGCCGAAACGCATGCTTCACGGCAGAAATAGGCGGGGTGGCGGTACCTAACCGTGCGGACTCACAAGAGGCTCTACCACCAGTACCTACTACCACCAATGTTGGAAATTATTCTTTTTGCCGCTGTGATATTTGGAGCATAGATTTTTTAGAGGCATTAAGCATCCTACTGCCTACTATCCTGACTATCCTAGACTGGATTTCTTCTACCAAGCTCCAATTAGAGGCAGAAGATTCGAAGTAAATAAAGCTAGCAAATCCTTGAATGATGTGGTCTCCCGTCGATACCACATTTTTTATTTATTTATTACGTTTATACGAGCATACAGCCCATCTGATGGTGAGTGGTTACCGTCGCCCATGGACTTTAACAATGCCAGGGGCAGAGCCAAGCCGCTGCCTATCATAACTATACTGAGACCTTAGAACTTATAGGTACATCTCAAGGTGGGTGGGGCATTTACGTTGTAGATGTCTATGGGCTCCAGTAACCACTTAACACCAGGTGGGCTGTGAGATCGTCTACCTATATAAGCAAAAAAAAAACGATTTAACCAACTGAGTTTCTCGCCGGATCTTCTCAGTGGGTCGCGATTCTGATCCGGTACTAGATTCAGCAAAGCACTGCTCTTGCTAGGATTATCAGAAAGATTTTGATTTGTTTACATTATCCTTGCATAGATGGGTGAACTAGTTGACGGTTCGCCTGGTGTTAAGTGTTTACCGGAAACTAGAGACGTCAAAGCATAAATATCGCCACTAACTTTGAGACATTCTCGGTTATAACTGCTGAAGGATGAGTTTCAAGAAATAGACGGTCTGTGGTACGTTCCCAGGCGAGCCTACAAGACATCTTACCACCAGTAATTAAGCAGAGTATATTTTTTTGCGATTTTTTTTAATTATCTCGACATGTTTATTGTAACAATGAAACACACACAAAACCCATCAATATGTTTAATCATATAATATATTGTAAATAAAAATTACATTTGTAAAAGATTTTTAACTAGATCGAAACAAAAAATGCAGATATTTTCTATTCATAGTCCATTATGAAGGCCGATTTGATTCGTTTGGAAAATGACACATAAATTATACACAAAACGCTCCTATTGATATGAAAATGTTTTTGACTAATGGCAAGCGGGAAACATGTGATTTATCCGTGGCTGTTCAGAAGATTTGGAGATTGGTAAGGTTTCTTGCGCAGAAAAGAAGCAATTTTGGAACCAATACATATAAGCAGAGTCGCCTAACTAATTCTGACGGCGTCATAAACAAAATTAAGACCTATATAATGTGTACGAGGAAGTATTTTTGCTTAAACTAGAAATTGATAAAAACAAATTATATATTTTTTTTCTCTTTACAAATCACCGAAAGAATTGGATTGACGTAACTGAATTTTAGAAGAAAAAATTATTATAGTTTTTTTTTTAAACAAATGGTCTTTGAGGTGTAGAAAGAGATAGAGGAAGATCGTGCGAGAGAAAGTGATATCAGACGCGTTGATCACGACCCTTAGCATTGAGAAATATGATTCTAGGAGAAGCAAGAAGTATAGATGTTTTGACGCCTTTCTTTTGTAATTCGGAACATTATTTTTCCCGCTTTTGCTGAGATTCGAACTTCAAAGAAGACTTTCTTTATTGAGGACTGTTTTTTTATTTATTTCCTTTAGAAAACCACAAATCTTATTCGAGAGCTTTGTGAGATCTGTTGTTGCGTTTTGTGTAACTTTCACCGGAGCTTAGGACTGACAGGAGTAGCTGCAAGTAGCGCAGGGGTTGCAAGGGTTGCAGGGATTGCAGGGGCTCCCACAAGGGTTAGTTCTTCGAAATATTCCGGCGGGTATGTGAATCGGTGGCATCTGCATTGTGGGATACTTGGGTTGCCTAATAATTATCTCTGGAGGGGTGATGGGGCAAGGTTTCTGCTGCGTTATCGTTATAGGAGGGGGACATATGGGTGCCGGCTTGGGGGGTCGTACCATGATAGCTGGGGGATTTATGGGGGCTAAAGGTTTCGGTCTGGCCAGCACGGGGGGCGGTGTTATCGGTGCTAGGGGGGGCGGCCTGACTACTATAGCCGGGGGCGTGATTGGAGCTATCGAGGGTGGCTGAACGGTTATTTGCGGGGGCGTTATTGGAGATTGCTGCGCTGGGTACACGACGATTGGGGCTGGCTGGAGTATTATATCGGGAGACGAGGTTATGAAGAAAGTTCCTCCTGGCACTCTGAACTTCTGGAAGCCGATCTGCTGCAGACGATCTACGACCATGTTCTTGGGTGTCATGACATTCGGAAAGCCGTGGGCTTTAGTGGCTGGAACATTAAAAAAGACATTGTTGTTAATAACGAACGCAGGCTGTTAATTTTGATACAGGGCAAGTAATGTAAAGCTAATTAAATCGGTCGTCGGGTCCAGTCAATGGCCCCTTGTAAGGCATTGCGGGATATTTATCACCTTAGTAGACATACAAGCTTATGGGCCAACTGGTGGTAAACACCGACCCTCGTACAGATCAGAAATGTCGGCCAAGAGGCTGCCTGAAAAGGTTTATGGATTCGAGAGCCAATAACCAAAATTACATGTATTTATTATCAGCTCAGTATTCTCAGTCAGCTTATGCTTGGATTATGCTAAGATTATGAGGTACTTTCTATAAAGCAAATTAGTGAGTATAAGTGCTATGACCAGCGTGCTCCTACAGCCATAGGACACAACGCACACCGCTGAAGGCCCATTACAACCCTCGTTATATGAAGAACATGTCTTATCACCGTGGAGGGGAGCTCATGCACTTGATTACACGTGGAAACCACCTGTATATTAGTGTGTGCTTCTCAATGACTTCAGATGACTGCTTCCAGAAGTTCTTGTCTTATAAATCAAATGTATTGAAGACTTTCATATCTCTGCTGGACTTTCTCTCTTTAGAAGAATAATGAAGATACGACGAGACGAATGTTGTGTTCCTATAATCTCTATGGACATTGGTAAGTCAACCAGAGTCGCAGCAAACGTTCTAACTCAGTTATCAACTAAAATACACCTGGTTCTAATTTCTCGATCACTACCCTAATGGGAAGCTCTCAGCAGTCTTTGTTACTTGACTTCATCCAAGAGTCAGAATTTAATAGATTAATAAAATATTAGCTGGTCTAAGGCTTACCAGGCCATGCTCGATTACTGGGAGCGTTCGAGGCTGCAAATGCATCGGTTCCGTAGTTATTGCCCGAGCCGGACCCACAGGAAGAGGCGCAGGGGTCGCACGAGGAGCAGCCGGGATCACAAGGTGGGGCGCAGGGATCGCAAGGGCTTCCGCAAGGGTCGCTAGGTGGGGCACAGGGATCGCAAGGGCTTCCGCAAGGGTCGCTAGGTGGTGTGCATGGGTCATAAGGAATTGTGCACGGGTCGCATGGATCGCATGGAACACTGCAAGGGTCACATGGCGACGCACAGGGATTGCATGGATCACAAGGCGGGGCGCACGGGTCGCATGGAGCAAACGGGCTACACGGCGCGTTCGATGTACACGAAACGCACGAGGCGCATGGGTCGCACGGTGGCGGGCAGGGGTCGCACGGTTGCAGGCACGGATTACGCGGTGGCGGACGGGTGTCGCATGCAGATAAGCATGGGAAGCACGGGGCTGGGCACGGACACGGATTACAACTTTGGAAGCAGTTCGGCCACAGCTGGAGGGCCGGTGCCGCTGCGGTCGATGCTATTAATACTGTAACAATGAGATTTTACAATTACTGCTTCGATAGGTTTGGCATGGTAGTATGTAGTGGAAGCTCATCCAGAAGAGGAGGAGGACTGCGAGAGCCCTCGGAGACTTGATCATTGTCAAAAGGGAATTCGGTAGAAAGGAGCTCAGAGCTGGACTGTCCGAGACAATAGTCGTCGCCGGTGACGTGCTTTGTATGAACGATATGAGCAATGAATCTTCCTCCTCCTCCAATGAGTCCTACCACCAGTAAATCACCACCACCAGTAAACCACCAGTTTATTGAGGACACAAACAAAGATCTCTCCTTACCTAAAACTCCTAATGCACGCGCCATGGCTCCACAGCTTCCGTGTGAGGCTGCTACCAGCGCCAAGCTTTATATAAGCAGTACTTGTTTTAATTTGCAATTGGATTTGCACGCATTAATAGGGCTGTCGATTGTCAAAAGTAAAACTTCTGATATTTTTTGTGGCAGGTCGCTGTTTACATGACAATGCCGCTGTATTGCTGACGTCCATGGGCGACAGTAACTATTAACCTAGCTATCCGTATTCTAATCGACTTCGTTCAATGGTTGAGTCCGTGGACACTGCAAAGTGAATGCCGCCACCCTTGAGACGTGAGGTCGTTATTTCAACCATCTGTTGCTATTAGGAAAGAAATATCCGGTCATCGTTCTCGTCGAACTCGGCGAGTAAATTAACTCACAGACACAGCCCACTGAGTTTCTCGCCGGATCTTCTCAGTGGATCGCGTTTCCGATCCGGTAGTAGATTCTGTGAAGCACTGCTCTTTGTAGGGCCAGTGTTAGCAACACTCCCGGTTAGAGCCCCGTGAGCTCACCTACTTGTTCTGTGAATCTAGAATAACCCTTCGAGGCTACTAGAATAGGTAGGGGAAAAAAGCAATAAATACACTATGGCATCTACCCGGGCGGACAAATTTTTTTTTTTTTTTAGGTTATGGTGTAGTTACGCTGTTCGCAGCGCGTACGGATGCATAGCATCGACAAAATATAAATACATATTTTTTATTTTTTTATTTATTTCTTTATTTTTTATTAACATAGAAGTAGAATCACAAGCATAATGTGCATCTGTGCTTGCTCATTATACGTACTTTCATATCATCATCACCATCATTCTCCTATCCTTCTCCCAGTCCCTTGGGGTCGTTGCAACATGATTTCTCCTTCCACACTCCTCTATCAAATACTATTTCTTCGCTCACTCCCTTCTCACACATATCGTCTTTCACGCAATCCATCCATTTCTTCTTAAGTCTACCTCTTCCTCTCATAATATGTCTTTTATTTACGCTAATTCACCAAGCGCTTCCACAGTATAGTTATATTTCACAGTTAATCAACTGTGCGCAAACACACGATAGTGTATATACTTTTGTATATAAATAGAAGCGTTTGACTGAAACTGACATTGAACGAAATCATGGGTATTATCCGTCTGTTGTTTTTTATTGGTGAGCAATTAATTTTAAACTTTATCTCGACTGCCATAGAATGCAAAATTCGTAACTTAAATTTGTATATTAATACGTGAAGCAAAAACTTTGTATCCCTTTTTACGAAAATTGCGCGGACGGAGGAGTATGAAATTTTCCACACTTATAGAGAGGGGGGGCAGAATGCTAATATTTTTTAAAAATTATGCATTAAAAATACATTAAATCAATAAAGTATAGATTACACACACCACCATGTATTTGACACAACACATACATATAAATATACTCTTTGTTTACTGTCAATAGTGAAACTTTTGTTATTCTTTAAAGTCTGTGGTCAAGTTGAGAATAGATTAATATTGTTTGCCTTTAATATTATTTATCTATAGTGTAGTTTTGGCGAAATCTGTGATTATATTATAGAAGTATAATAGTGCTTGACAATAGAACCATAATAATGTTTAAGCTTTATAATTTCAATTAATTATAGTCGAATTTCGACTACTGCGGGGACCACTAGTGTAGATAAACGCACAAATCGAGAGGCTTTGAAAAAGTGTGGCTTTGAAGTCGTCGTAGCGTGTGTAATGTTTTTTTTAAATTGATTTAATGTATTTTTTATGCATAATAAAAAAAAAATATTAACATTCTGGATTCTCCTTCTCTATATTCGGTATAAGTGTGGGAAATGTCATACTCCTCCGTCCTCGCAACTTTCGTAAAAAGGGATACAAAGTTTTTGGTTCGCGTATTAATACATAGATTTGGTCATTCCCTTCAGCATTACTCTCCTGCGCTTTGGCCGGTCCATGGCGGTGCTACACCACGTCCGACGGAAGCCAGATCTGCTTCGACAAGGCCGGCGAGCCGTGCATCTCCAACCCTCAAATAATAATGCCCCGGCGGGCTCTCCCCTGCGTTGGAGCCTCCACAGTGTATACGCCCTGCAATTAATTGTCCAACGAAATAACTTTCAAATATCCCCGGAATGTTTCGACCGTATCTTCGCGTTGGCAATAAAATAAAAAATAAAATTATTTATTTATTTCTTTTCTATACTTGACAGTATAAAGGCGAATTTAATACCATAGGCGTTCTCTGACAGTCTACCTTAGGGGAGTGCAGAAATGAACCTTGGTAGCTGTAGTGTGATAGTGATATTAGGTACTCAAACATATGTAAAAGCATAATATTTATATATACAAATACTCGCACTTAAATAAATACATACACATAAATATATGCATATAAATAAACATTATCAATTTACCAGTTGTTTAAGCAGTTTCAGTTTTAAGGTTAATGTGGAGCGTAATTAAATTCCTTGTTTGTTTATCGTCGCATATATTCCGGTCATCGGTCTCGTCGAAAGAACGAATGAAAGAGTCACAAGACCCTTTTCGAGCAACTTGTCAAGCAAGTTCTTCTACAAGGGCAATAAATAAAGAACTAGCTTCTGTTACGAATAAGAAGGCCGAACTCTTTTAAAAAAAAAAGAATTTATTCGACACTACAAAATATTTATAATGAAATAGCTGACCCGGCAGACTTCGTAGTGCCTCAATCGATAGATAAAAGACCTAAACTTTTGTATAAAATAAACTTAAAACAAACAAAAGGAATCCGTCCGACGGGGGACACATCAAATGAAAAATAAAATTGTTATTTTTATTTAATTCCGGGCATTTTCATATTTATCTATCTTTTAAACCTTCTCTGGACTTCCACAAATAATTCAAGACCAAAATTAGTCAAATCGGTCCAGCCGTTCTCGAGTTTTAGCGAGACTAACGAACAGCAATTCATTTTTATATATATAGAATAGATAGATAACTAATTATAATAAAAGGATTTGGAGATAGTGAGGAAAATTGGTAAATGTCCCACTTCAATGAATATCTGACCCGAACTGAGACTGGTATGTTCTTATAAAATCATTGTAAGAGGGCTTATGATGGTAAGCATTAGTCTATACAGGCTAGGGATATAACACTTCGAATTGCAGCTAATGTTTGTTTTGTACTAAAGACACGCATGAAATTCGTACTATGATTTCGGCACCTACTCAAGGAGCAACACTGAAAAAAATACT